GTTGTTGTTGTTGTTGTTGGTTGTTGTTCTTGTTGTTCTTGTTGTTGTTGTTGTTGTTGTTGTTGTTGTTGCTTGTTGTTGTTGTTGTTTGTTGCTTGTTGTTTCTTGCCTGTTGCTTGTTGTTTGTTGTTTGTTGTTTGTTTTGTTCCCTCCGAAGGGTGTCGCCGCGCGCTTTTTCAGATGCTTCCCCACCTGGTGTGGCGCGTTTACGCCTCGTTTTCGACGACCTGCGATAGAAATTTGGACACACCCGCCAAAGGGCGCTGAAGCACAGCCCAATGGCAAGAACGCCCGTTCAAGCGCACCCGCGCCGCACTGTATCCCTGCCAGCCAAATGGTAAGAACACCCGTTCAAGTGCACCCGCGCAGCACTGTGTCCCTGCCAGACCCGTTCAAGTGCACCCGCGCAGCACTGTTCCCCTGCCAGCCAAGCGGTACGAACACCCGTTCAAGCGCACCCGCGCTGCACTGTTTTCCCTGCCAACCAAATGGTAAGAACACCCGTCGAAGTGCACCCGCGCAGCACTGTTCCATGCCAGCCAAATCACCCGTTCAAGCACACCCGCGCAGCACTGTATCCATGCCAACCAAATTGTAAGAGCACTTGTTCAAGCGCATGCGCGCAGCATGGTATCCCTGCCAGCCAAGCCGTAAGAACGCCCGTTCAAGTGCACCAAGGACGTATCCCTGCCAGCCCCTGTTCAAGCGCAGGCGCGCAGCACTGTCCCTGCCAGCCAAATTGGTACGAACACCCGTTCAAGTACGCCCGGACAGCACTGTATTCATGCCAGCAAGTGCACCTTATCCCTGCTCGCCAAATCGTAAGAACACCCGTTCAAGTGTATCCCTGCCAGCCAAATGGTAAGAATACCCGTTCAAGCGCACCCAAACACCACTGTACCCTGCCAGCCAAACGGAAGAACACCCGTTCAAGTGCACCTGCGCAGCGCTGTATCTCACGTCTGTGGCAGTAAGACCGAAACAAACGTTGTTGTTGTTGTTGTTGTTGTTAGGGCCGTCGTCGTGGTTGTTGTTGTTCTTGTTCTTGTTCTTGTTGGTGTTGGTGCTGGTGTTGGTGTTGGTGTTGGTGTTGGTGGTGGTGGTGTTGGTGTTGGTGTTGGTGTTGGTGTTGTTATTGTTCTTGTTCTTGTTCTTGTTGGTGCTGGTGTTGGTGTTGGTGTTGGTGTTGGTGGTGGCGTTGGTGTTGGTGTTGTTCTTGTTCTTGTTGTTGTTATCGCTCTTGTTCTTGTTGTTGGTGTTGGTGCTGGTGTTGGTGTTGGTGCTGGTGTTGGTGCTGTTGCTGTTGGTGCTGTTGCTGTTGTCGTTGTCGTTGTCCTTGTCGTCCTTGTCGTCGTTGTCGCCCTTGTCGTCGTTGTTGTCGTTGTTGTCGATGTTGTCGTTGTTGTCGTTGTTGTCGTTGTTGTCGTTGTCGTTGTTGTGGTGTTGTTGTCGTTGTTGTTGGTGTTGGTGTTGCTCTTGTTGCTGTTGTTGCTGCTGCTGCTGCCGCCGCTGCTGCTGCTGTTGTTGTTGCTGCTGCTGCTGTTGTGGTTGTTCTTGTTGTTGGTGACGTTCATTCTTGGTGGCCTGTGCAAATTACTGTGCGCCCCATTCAGCGCTGTACCCATGTTGCAGATGACTGCGCTCAACATGACAGGCACATGGCCAGAAAACCAGCTCAAGCGCACCCGCTCAGCACTGTATCCATGCCAGGCACATGGTAAGAACACCCGCTCAAGTGCACCCGCTCAGCACTGAGTCCATGCCAGGCACATGGTAAGAACACCCGCTCAAGTGCACCTGCTCAGCACTGTATCCATGCCAGGCACATGTCAGGAACACCCGCTCAAGTGCGCCAGAACTTTCCATGCCAGGCACAGGGTCAGAACACCCGCTCAAGTTGCCACTCAGGCGCACCCGCTCAGGACTGTGTCATGCCAGGCACATGGTAAGAACACCCGCTCAACTTGCCGCTCAAGTGCGCACGCTGAGCACTGTATACACTCGCTCAAGTGCACCCGCTCAGCACTGTGTCCATGCCAGGCACATAGTAGGAACACCACTGTATCCATGCCAGGCATATGGTAAGAATCCATGCCAGGAACATGGTAAGAGCACCCGCTCAAGTGCACCTGCTCAGCACTGTATCCATGCCAGGCACATGGTCAGAACACCCGCTCAAGTTGCCGCCCAAGCGCGCCTGCTCAGCACATGGTAAGAACACCCGCTCAAGTTGCCCCTCAAGTGCACCCGCTCAGCACTGTAGCCACGTCAGTGTCCATGCCAGGCGCATGGTAAGAACAGCCGCTCAACTCAGCACTGTGTCCATGCCAGGCATATAGTAAGAACACCCGCTCAAGTGCACCTGCTCAGCACTGCGTCCATGCCAGGCACATGGTAAGAACACCCGCTCAAGCGCGCCCGCCCAGCACTGTGTCCAGTAAGAACACCCGCTCAAGTGCACCCGCTCAGTACTGTATCCATGCCAGGCGCATGGTAAGAA